CCCTTGTTTTCCCTGGAGCCCTGGAACCCGTCCTCGCACATCTTGTATATAGCACTGTCCTCGCACTACCTGTAAATACACCTGGTGAAGATTTTTGTGAATAAACTGTCTCTGTTACAACACACTCCGGAGTCCTGCGAGTGGATCCTCAGAGCAACTCGTGACACTAAAAATATTGCACAGAACAAGGAAAGACTGAGATATTGCACATGAGAGGGCAGCAACATAGTTGATCAATAGTAGCGCCTGCGTGGTTGTATGGGAGAAGTTTGTTCACACTTGCATTAAGAGTTCTGACAGCCCACGGGAAGAAGCTGTTTTTCAGTCTATTGGTTTTGCACCTGATGGATCTGAACCTTTTTCCAGAGGGCAGGATGCTGTTAGGTGGTGGTTAGGATGGAGGTAGTCTTTTATAATTGCCCTGGCTCTGGAGAGACATCTCAAGCTGGCACGGTTGAGATGTCCAGGGAGACCGTTCACAACCTTGACTGATTGTGAACGGTCTGTGAAAAAGTTTTTGATCCATGCACATGTGGCGGGGGGGTGGGGGGAGTCCAAGTTTACCACCTTGGCTATAAGAAGGCCTGGGATGATGGTATTGAAGGCCGAGCTGAAGTCAACGAAGAGCATCCTCACTGATGTTCCAGGATTCTCCAGGTGATGCAGAGCAGAGTGGAGGGCGGTGGAAACTGCATCCTCAGTGGACCTGTTTGCCTTATAGGCAACCTGCTGGGGGTCGAAGCTGGGTGGGAGGCAGTCCTTTATGTGCTTTAGGACCAGCTTCTCGAAGCACTTTGCAACCACTGGAGTCAGAGTGATGAGTCTGTAGTCGCTGAGGCTACTGATGGTGGTGGACTTGGGGACTGGGACTATTGTTGCTGATTTCAGGCAGTGAGGGACAGTGGCATGTGACAGGGAGAGGTTGAATAATGGTGAACACAGGAGCCAGCTGGACAGCCCAGGCTTTGAGCATTCTCCCAGATATTCCGTCAGGGCCAGCAGCTTTCCTCTGATTTACTGCTCTTTACACATTGCGAACCTGGTGTTCTTGGAGACTAAAGGTGTGAAGGCTGTGCTCAGAGGAGGCTGTGGGCAGGGCAGGGCGGTGTGCATGGTGGGGGTGTCTGCAGTTTTCTCAAAGCGGGCAAAGAAGCAGTTAAGTTCCTCTGCTAATGAGATGTCTATATTATCTGTATTTGTCCCTTTGCCTTGTGATATGTTTCAGGGCCTCCATACCTTTCTGGAGTTGTTATCAGAGAGGTGATCCAATAGCTTGTTTGAGAAGTCCAGTTTTGCTGCTCTGATGCCTTTTTTAAGGTCTGCTCTTGCTCTGCTGTACATATCCTGGTCCCCAGATTTGTATGCAGAGTTGTGTGCCTTTAACAATGCCCCAATCTAACTTGTCATCCAGGGTTTACAGTTGGGGTAGACCCGGACACCCCAACTGACCCATGCAGTGCGTGAATATTCAACACACCTGAATCAAATGATTAGTTCATTACCAGTCCTCTGGAGAACTGCAAGACATGTTGAGGAGGTCATTTAGCCATTTGAATCAGCTGTGTTGGATCACAGACACATCTAAAAACTGCAGGACACCGGCCCTTGAGGCCTGGAGTTGGGGACCCCTGCTCTAGGTCATCATGCTCGAAGACACTCCACTCTGCGAGGGCAAAACACTCCTGCAACTGAGCGAGCGCTTCCTCAGAAAAGGTACTAATGGTTCTGATGATGGGCTTTGTCCTTTTCCTGAGTGGTGTGTATGCCGGGACAACGAGCAGAGAGAGGTGGTCAGACATACTCAAGTGGGGGAGGGGAAAAGATCTTTAGGCTTGCTTTAGAGCTGGGCGATATGAGATTTTTTCATATCACGATATGTTTTTTTCATTTCAGGCGATAACGATATCTATCACGATATAAGCCAAATAACTATAATTGTAAGATTTAAATGTGCCGTTGCTCACAAGTAAAATGTGATATAATCAGCAGCTTGTTTTGATTTAAATATTTATTTCCCATAATAAGTTCAACAGGGTAGATGTACTTAAGGAACATGAGACTTTTTCAGATAAATAAAGGCAAATATTGCAAACTACACAAAAGGCAGCCGCTAAAGCGTTTAAGTTTCAAAATAGAACAAACGAAACAGACTAAATTGTCAATTCCACTTAGAAACAAAATATTAATTCTAAAAATAAATCTTAGTTTGTTTTACAGAAGAACAGACAAAACTGACTAACTGTTGTCAATATCAAATCAACTGAGAACTAAAAAGAAATTCTCAATCTCTCCTTGTTGTATAGCTGAGCTTTTCAAACAGTTTTAACAGTTACTTTAGTCTGACAAAAGCCGAATGACGAATTAGCGCTTCCAGTCAGAGACTGAGGCTACGTCCACACGTACACGGGTATTTTTGAAAACTGAGATTTTCCGTTTTCGTTTTAAAAAATAATCCCGTCCACACATAAAGGCATAAATGAAGGAAAACGCTGCTATGAACATGCCAAAGCAGCAGGTGGCGCTAGATTCCTAACCGTGCCGAAATGTTGGCCAATCAGAAGTCTAGAAGCCTCGGTGGGAAAAAGTAAACAAAGCTGGGGCATAGAAGCAGAACAGTCGTATGTGTGGAGGGACAGTAACTGGGTGTATATGTAAGCATTTAAACACTGCAGAGAGTAGAATTAACAGTAACAGTATTGTAGAAATTCATTTCACCGAAACAATAACGTGGCGCACAGTGTGACGCATGCACCAGTTTATTGTATTTCCAGACTTGCTTTCGGCACAATTTACAGTGCACGCTACTCTGTCTTTTGTCAGACTTGAAATAGCCGAAATACCTTCACACTACGGAACTTCTATGGCTCTTCCGTTCGACAATCTCTCCGGCATTGGAACCATCATCTGTTTTCTCTTCGGTCACGCTCGGTTGATTTTTCTAGTCGGCACACTCATTTCCTCCATTACCGCTGGCTGCTTCCCAAACAAACACACGTGTGGCTTGGGACTGTCACGCGACGTGACGCTGCGGCTGTGATTGGTTCGGCTCTGCGCTACTGAATTTGGATCGGCTGACCTTTTATTTTTATTATTATTTTTTTTTTTTAAGAGAACAAGAGCGGCGAGGTCTATCGCGATAGCTTAATTTCTCTATCGAGTAAAAGTTATATCGCGATACATATCGTTATCGTTCTATCGCCCAGCTCTAGCTTGCTTAATATTTGAGTAAACATGGTCCAAAGTGTTATTCTCTCTCGTAGGGCATTTCCCATGTTGAACAAATTTAGGCAGCACAGTTCTTAAGCATGCTTTGTTGAAATTTTGTTTTTACAGCTCACCTGTTTTAATTACAGCTTAAAGTTTGCATTATTAGGGGTGTGATTTTCTTCAGTTTAAGAGGTCAGAATAGTATTTACAAAGAAACACAAAAATATTGTTTCCAGGCAAATGTGTCTGATTAAAACATCATTTGAGATGCTTGTCTGCACTTTCCATAGACGTCTACACCTTTCTGCACTCCTTCCTGGCTGAAGAAGTGTAAATATAATTACTTCCATAATTATACACTACGTTACTAAAAATAATTTGCGAGTGAGAAAAGTGGTGGAGGAACATTTCAAATCATTGCTTTAGGAAAAGAAGGACTAAAACTTTTTGAAAACACTTAAGTACACATAAAACTGTATTATTGGAAAATTGTGCATAAGATATCAAAGTAAAAATAATTATTATTTATAAATAATTATTATTTTTGTTAGCAGCCTGTGTCTCTGGTTTCAAAAGGTTAATATGATGACACTGGGGGTTTTGCGGTTTATTTAAAATTTCCACAACAACACACAAAGCTCCAAACCAGTGAGCGGCATCAGAGCGGTTTTAAATAAAGGGCTAATAAGCAACACACAACAGGACACACATTGTTTAATTGGCCTTTAATGACGCTGATTCCGTCCTTCAAATGCTGCATTATTAAATGTTCCTTATTTATTCCACAGTGTAAAAATATCTTTTGCACAGATTTCTGAAAGGCTCAGAGTTTTCAAACTTTAAACCTTTCACTTTCAGTTTTCTGTGAACTCCATGGACACAAATTTATACTTCAAAAAAGATGAAAGAAAACGTGCTTAAGCAGCAAAAAAGTGAAGTCCGGATAGCACAGACATTCAGAATCAAATTTATATGAAAAAAAAAAATGTGTCATTAAGGGAAAAAAACAAAAACAGCCGAGTTTGATAGCAAGGTTCACCATTTCATTCATCATTGAAGAGAGAAAAAAAACCCCAAAACAAAACCATGTGGGAATTAGAAAATGTAAGCTTCACGTCATCTCGTGTCCTCAAAATGGCCAGTAATATAAATTAAAAGCTACTGTTCCCTTTGAAAATCCTACAAGCTCAAGAAACTGAAACAGATTTTGACATGGCAAGACAGAAACCCTGCAAATAAACCTTGTGGTGTTCTCCAGGGCTCTTTGAGGACTCCTGTAACTTTAGAATAATCACAGCCTTGTTTTCACAGAGGAGGGTCCCTGCCTGGTGTCACAGTGTTTGCTGTATTACAAACAAAATGAAAATACAAAGAAACACTTCATGCAAGGGAGTATGTTTTAAAAACATACTTTTCCAAAAACAAGAAAACATTTTGACATCCGTACAGTACATCCATGACTTATGTTAACTTACTTAAATATGAGTAACACACCACTTTGTGTTTTGTTTGGATTCACCGAAAGTAGAAGAAATCAATAAGTTAAAAATCAAAACAAAAAGAAATTTCAGGACAACATTTCGATTGAGACGTTAGCACATCGTTTACCAAACTGTCACAATAAAGGATAAAGCCTAATTCTTCATCATCTTTTAACATATATTCATTTTTTAAATACACACTTTTGCACCCAATCATGTTTTGCTAATACATTTTGGTGTGTAGGTAGATACGTAAAGACGACATGACTTCTTCTGTCTCAGATAAGATATCTGAGGAAATTGTATGAATAGCAGACTTTGCATGTGGCGTAAACCTCAAACCCTCTGGGTGAAGTTTTCGGGGAAAACGCCTTTGGCTGAAATATCTTTCTTCTGAAACCAGTGAGACTCCTTCAAGCCCATGAGCCAGCCATCATCCTACAGACACACAGAGTACAATCAAAGATTTAACATTTGGTAATTACAGCCTCAGGTAAACTACATAAATAATAACAATTTTACAAGTCATTTATCTAAGAAAAAAAAATTACATCTAAAATTCAACCAATAAGTATGAACATCTCTATGAACGCAGAAGTTTGGGTAGTTTGCTGCTTTACTCATGAGCATTCAGGAGTGTGTTAACACAATGCCAAAGAGAGAAAGACATCAGCAATGATCACAGAGAAGCAACTGTTGCCGCCCACAGGACCTGGACACCTTACAGTCATCAAGTCAACCATGAACCACTAAAGTGTTCTAGAGTAAAAGATGTGGTGAGATGCTTTTAAATCCTCAAGTTTGAGTAGACTTGAATGTTTTTTTCCAGAAAATGTTTGATAATGTGTCGCTAAGCTGAGCTTATTGATGCTATGAGCTGCAGTTCAACATGGTGGCGTTGGAGTAAATTTCACAAGATGAGGAGCTCTATAGCAGGACAAGCTGTATTTTGCCCATGTGTGCTATATAGTCATCTCAGGCACACCATCTGCTGTTCAAACCTTTTGTTTACGAGGGGCTGCTAACGAAAGAAAGATGACACATGGAGGAGGATCTAAATCAGCTTGTTTCAGACAGAGAGCAAACTGATGGGTTCCGGTATAGGATTAAAAAAAAAGTTATTTTGAACTGTGGATCATGCAAAGCTACTCTAGTGTAGTGCAAGAATAAAAACAAGAAGCTAAAATAAGCAGAATGAGTCCACTTAAACTGACCTGTTCATCTGGGTTGTCAAAGGCCAAAACCAACACAACGTCTCCCATCTTCAGTTCCAGCTCATCACCATCAGTAGCAGCATAGTCGTGTACCGCTTTCACCTGGAGAAAACAAAACAAACGTTTCCCATTTACATCTGATTTGCATATGAAGTCTGTAAAACTGAATCTTTTTAGAAGGTGCAGGATGTTACCTTCCTGTAATTAAGCATAAAAATTTGGTTCACTTACCTTGTAGAGGAACCCTGGAGGGAGTTCGCCATCTGAACCATTGGTCACCGCACTCTGGACCAACAATACACAGAAAAATCAAGATATATAATTCAGGAAGTCTTTGAAATGCTCCATTTGGTTAATGATAGAGAGGTTAGAAGTATGAAAGAGTAAAAAGTAGATCAAAGTGGAAGAAAAGAAGATCAGGTTGATGGCTTTTTAGGGTGCTTTTCCCAGATTTGAGGGATTCTTGACTTTTCAGCATCTAGCTGAGGTCCCACCTGCCCCAATCCATCCAACTCTACCTGTGTGTATTGATCATCACCCCAGCCCCCCTGTTCCACATTGGCACCGTCGTTGTCCCAGTTGGGCTCGGTGTATGGCTGAGCCTCATAGTCTGTGTCGTCAATCCAGCCCTCCTCACCCACCGCGGTCTCTGCCTCATCCCAGCCAGGCTGACTATAACTTTGGGTGTTGCTTTGGCTGTAATCCCATCCACCTTGGGCTTCTTCTTGGTACTGGTCATCGTCATACTGCTGTTCAACCTCTGTGGCAGTCTGTTCTTGCTATAAAGGTCAAGCGTTGTGGAGCATTGTGACAGGTTTGTAAGCATAAAGGTTGGGTAGGTGGATGGATGAGGGTGGCAGAGGAGCATTTGGGTTTAAAGAGTGTAACAAGAGTCACGACCCAGGGTTGTGCAGGGTATTAAAAAGGAAGGAGGTTTTAAAGCATGAAAGGAAGAATTGAAGAGCTTATTTCAAAGTCCACAAATACAGAAAAATGTAAGAAAAAAGGTGTAGTTGTGGTTTTCTAAGAGAGTCCTTAATTAAAACATAAAGAACCCATGCTTACCCATGAGTCCCATGATGCCTCCTTGCATGGAGCAGTAAGAATTGAGACAAGCAGTGAGACAGAAGAGTACAAAGAATCTTTTTCATAACGATTCATTCAAGTGCACAATTCATGTGATTTAGCCCCTTTTTAAAAGAATAAACTAAGCCAAACTTCAAAAACCAAACACATTGCGTAAACTGTTGATGCACTAATCAATTATTTGCTTGCATTATGAACCTTGAGAGAACCATATAAGCACCAATCACTGTTTTTGGGCTAAATCTGATATTGCCATTCGAGGTTTTTTTCAATCGTCGCTTTTTAACCACTTTTAATCAAAGTCATCTCAAAGCCTTCTCAGCCCGTTTTTGTTTGATGGGAAAGAGCTAATAAATACTAAATCCAAAACAAAGACAGCAAAGGAGAACCAGCTGAATGCATGAAAATGTTTACAGAACAGCAAAGACATTTCCAGGATATCCCTCTATTGTCAAAAATCAATGAACATCACCAGTCAGTCGATCTGCATGCAAAGAGAAGCTGGAAGAACTTAGACATGCAGTGAAGAGGTTAGATCTTTCCAAATAAAGCCCAAACACACACCAAGAGACTGCAGTTACATGCAGTCAGAATTTTATTTATTTATATTTTTTACTTCTAAGCTTTTCAGATTTAGCTGTAAGTGGGAATTACAACAGCTGCACTTCTGAACAGTACCCCACATTTTTCTTTTTGCACCATTAATTAATGTATTTATTTTTACATAAACTTTTTGAGTCTTTTGCCTTAGATAGTGTTGGGGTGGAAAGTGGAGGCAAAGGGCCTCAGATTGAGCTTGGGTTTAACTTAAACACAATCCCTTTACCTGGGCAAAGCACACCCACCTGGGGAGCTGGACAGGTAACGGCCTGAAATACATCCACATCCCAGTCCAGCAGGTTCACCCCTGACCAGGGCTCACACTGCCACCCACACACACACACACACACACACACACACACACACACACACACACACACACACACACACACACA